GTCTTCAGGCACTTGGCCCTGATTTGGCTGTCACATGTGCTGTTCCAGTCATGGCTGTGCCTGAAACCAGGGCAAGAGACACAAGCTAGACTTTAAAATGCCAAGTCACCTCTCCGTGTCACTGTACTGAATGCATGTAAAAATTGCTTGTGTAATCTGGATTGATGTTTCTATGTCTGCTCCGGTGTTTCCGATTATATCTGAAAGGGCCTTTTTTGTTTTCTCTTTCTTGGCCTGCTGTAGTCTGTCAGCTAGCACCCTCACAATGTCCTCTGGTAGCAGCAGGGGATCCCTGGCCTCCAGCAGAGGGTCCTTGGCCTCCAGCAGAGGGTCCCTCAGCTCAGTCAGCTTTACGGACATCTATGGCCTTCCGCAGTATGAGAAATCAGACGGCGTTACAGACTACGGGCAACACTTACGCTTTGACATCATTCCCTTCGAGTCTCTCACAAAGGATGTGCCATATGCTGATCCCATTGGACACTCGAATTTCAATAAGCAGCGGAGGTCTCTGGATACCCCCCAGTCCCTGGCATCTCTGTCATCACGGTCCTCCTTGTCATCGTTGTCCCCTCCGAGCTCACCTCTGGACACCCCGTTTCTCTCTGCGTCTCGAGATTCTCCGTTGGCTCAGATGTCAGAAGGTTTTGAGGAGATGGCAAGCATGGGAGCCCTGGAAATGCTCAGGGCTCAGACCACAGCGTTGGTTGACGATGATGCACAAGGAATGAGCTCATCTCAGACATCCACTTACCCTCTGGACAATGAAGGGCTGCGAGAAATGGGACCACACCTGACTGCGGTCCAAACTGGTGGAGGTGAGTTCATGGACATTATTTTGTGACATTACCATAGAAAATGTCACACAGACCTAAGCATATCAGCACAGTAGAGATTGTTCCTCAGTTTGGCTTAGTTTACTACCATCAGTTAAAATTTCATGGTATATGTTAACTGTTAAGAACACCCAACCAAAAAAACAGGAAAAAAAGCCAAACCCAAAGTTTAGATTTAGGGCAAAGAGGTGAAAGAATAGAGAAATCCTTACGAATAGATCTTAAAATGGTCATGAGTTGGGTGGAAGAAAGGGAATGGAATACAGATGTTCATTGGAATATAGTGTATCACAGCATGATAAAGAATTAGTAAGATATTCATAAAAAAGCATGGGTTAGTTACTTCTGAGGCCCCAGTTGTGCCCATGTTGCCATTATTCTGATAATTTAAAGCAGCGCAAACCCAGGGGAGATAGGAGAATACCAACAACACCCAGACCCCCACCTCCAAAGATAAAACACCCAACTAACACACAAAATACGAGGTGATGGTGCTTGAGGGGCAGCTGACTCCATGCTGCATTTGCATACAGCCTAGACCAGGTTCCCTTGTCCAAGCTGTGTGCTGGAGCAGAAGCTGTGGTGGCATGGCCATGAGTGCACAGTGCACTCAGGGTAGAGTGCTTCATCAGGAAAGGAGCATCTTTTGTAGGGGCTGTGTGATAAGTTAAGTATCTGCTTGGCTGGTTGCCTCCAAGCACCTGTGCTCTGTGATCACAGAGCAGTGATGTGTGCAGTTACCACAGCACACATAATGCTGAGTTTTCCTTTCCTGCTTGACTGTGAGGTTGATGGACTAGCTTTAGCTTGCACTGGCAGAAGCTTCTGAGGCACTGCAGTTCAGTAACATAAATTAGAAAGATCAAAAGGGGAAACAGAAAACTTTAAAAAAAACCCGAAACAAAATAAAAAGCCTGAACATACAAGCACATGACAAATTTATTTTCCTCTTTTAAGCAGTCAAATAAAGAACTGCTGTTAATATGAAAAAGAGTATTCCTTCATGATAACATTTTAGTGTGCTGGCGTGCTCATTTTTCTAATAAAACCATACCAATAGAGAAAAGCTTTTAGAGTTGGTTTTTTGATATTCCCATCCCATTTCTATATCCAGAATTCTGTGTTAGTAATGTTATGTTTGGGACTTAGGACAACAGGAATAATGTGAAATACAGCCAGAGAATGCATTGTGTTATGCTACCAAAATCTTACTTGTCAGTGATAATATGAAGGGGGATATTAACAGTATGTATGGAAAAACTTTCATTTTTTTATTTTTCAAAAGAAAACATTGCCACTGTACTAAAAACCATATATTGTTCAAAGAGCATTTGAGTCTAGACTCACCTACTTTCCTTAGTGCAGCTAGCATTGCCAAAAGATACTGCTGCACAATTTACTTTCACTAGCTGTAAACATTTCTAGTGCCCATACTGTAGCTTTCAGACCAAAATAAACAGAATTCCAGAGACCAGAGTGTAAGCTTGTACTTTAATTAGTGCCATGAAGAGGCTTCCTGAGGCTTTCTTTAAACCTCAAATCAGACCACAGTATGTCTTCACCCATTGTGGTAAGTGAAAATGTCTAAGTAGTTTGTTTATAGCTCGTACGTGTTTCCTAGAAGTGAAGGCCTGGTATGAGGGCCTAGGGAGAAATATAAGGTGATGGTCAAGTTCCTGCTTTGGTTTCCCCTTTCTTCCCTCTCTGTTATGTTTCTGGACATTTCACATTTCTCTGAAAACCTCTGGCAGAACACATCTGTGCTACCTGCTGTCAGTGCTGCAGTGTCCAGCTCCTAGTCCAGGGGTTGCAACGTTTTCTCTGTGTACAACAGAGCATTTTGTGTTGCTTTTCAAGGAAGATTGTACGGTTAAAAGGTAGCCAGGCTGTCTTTTATTGAGATTTTAAAAAAAATATTTGCAATCGAAAGCAATTTCTTATTGAAATATTTGTTTAACCTTTCAGATTTCTTACTGCTTTATGCTCCACACTCACTAGCTGGTGGTTTGCAATTGTAATGCAGTTGTTTGCAAGCAGCAGTTGGAAGTTTTGAAGTTATTTTGGTTTTGTACTCTTTTCTCGGAAGAATTTGATGGAGCATCAAGCTCATATTACCCCAGTTTGGGACCCCCCAGATGTTGGGGGTTTGGGGTTTCAGTGTGCCCTGCACTGCCACCCAATGGTCTGGTGGCAGAGTGCGATGCTGCAAAACCAGTAAGTCTTGGATCCCACAAACCTTTTGCCTCTTTCCTCACTAGACAAAACATGGAGTAATGCTGGTAATTTGAAAAACTTGGGGGCTTGGAGGATTAAGCTGCATGTATTTTGCACTGATGCAGCACTTAAGCAAGTTCGAGGGGCTCTTTAGGAGCTGCAGTTTTGGTGTTCACTTGCTGATCTGCTGTTTTATTGTTCAGCATCTGTCACAAGGACACACTGTGAAATTTGTTAGCATGTATGAATGAAAGGAATATGCCTGAAGAAGTTAAAGCTGAGAGTGGGAGGAAACATGTTAATAAAATATTGGGCTTTAATAGCTTCACTATCTCTTCTCTATACTAAAATAATCTTTGAAATGCTAAGTTTCTTCTAATGCCTAAATAATATCTTGTTTGCAAAATACTGTCATAGATCTAAAAGGTAATTTATCACTGTATGCTTTTCATTTTGTCTTATTTCTCATGCGGCACAACAGAAAAATTCACTGTAAGTGAACCTGAAATTTCTTATTGTGCTGTTTTTGCCTGTAATTCCCAGTGTGTTTTTCTGTGTGAAGTGTTGGTTGTTTTGTTTTGGGGTTTTTTTTGGTTTTTTTTTTTTTTTTTTTTGAGTTGCATGAGAAGAAACTGGAGATTTTGCTACATTTGGTTTTGTTTGATATTGTGCTTTACCTGTTTAATCATTATGGCATACTTAATTTTTTTTGCTATGTCAACTAAACAATATATTCACAGTTGTAGTTAAATTCCTGGGAAAATTGTTCTGTGACCTTCAGCTTTATTATGTTATAGTAATGCCTGACAGCATCATGGTCAGTAAGGACTGTTTGTGTCTCTGATTAGTTTTTATGAGAGTGTTTTACTCTTTTATTAGTGCATTTTGAGCTGACGTGTGGTATTTGTAGTCTCCTGAGCTTGTGAAACAAGCTTTAGGTTTATTTATGTTCTTTCTTAGCTAGTGAAATTTTGGACACCAGAAAGTTCACTTTTTCAACTAATGACATTGAGAAAGAGATCTTTTAATCAGGGCTGCCTTGTATTTATCAAACTTTGGCACCAAGTAGTTCTGGAAAATCATATGTATTGTTCACTGATTTTGTTGTTTAAGTAAGAAGATGAAAAGTTGTTGTCTTAGAAAATTAGTTTAAAAAAATACTTTAACTTCTAGCATTGCAAAGTCTGTAACCTCTGCTAAAACCTTCTTCTGTGCAAACCAAAATCTGACCTTATTGTTTTGGTGTTTGCATATTTCCCAAATTTGTGGACTGTCCAGAGGTTACCAAATGCTTCCATGCCCTGCAGGCAGTGAGAAAATCACTGTCAAGTTACAACATTGTAAATGTCAGGTTTTCATTACATTGTATTGATGCTTGAGACCAACTTCTTCCAGACAAATTGGGAACATGAGCATCCCAAGGAGAGAGCCCATGAGGTCTTCAGCCTGCTACATCTATACAAAGTATTGATGCAGAGGGGTGAGCCAAGGGCCTATTTACAAAAAGAAGTCATCCTAGTGTAACCTGTTGAAATTAGTACAGGAATTCTGGAAGCCCTTTCATATAAATTTATACACTTTTATGGAGTTCGACCTCTTTTCAGTGATGTAAAATTATTGGGAAACTTTGATATGTTTTTCTGTACATGTCTCTACAGAGTGCTAGTTTTGATTCTGCATAAATACCTGTGACAGAAATGAAGTGGGGTCACCAAATCAAAACTTCTTTACAAAAGATAAGAAAAAAACCAAAGTAACCAACCAACCCAAAAAAACCCAACCAAAACAACCCACAAACTCACCACATCCGTACAAGTGATATAGAAGAGTGTGGTTCAAGTATAGTTTCTTTGCTTTCTAGTGTGCTAGCTTGAACTTGGCTCTCATTTGTGGTGAGGATGTCATGAGTAGCACTGCACGATGTGTGATGTACAATAAGGGTGGGATGCTCTAACTGGAGGTTCAGGGTGATTCTTTGTTCAAACAGAGACAAATGCAGATTGGGCTGTTCCTAGTCAGCAGATAAATTTCCTGCATAGCTGAAGATGACTAAATCCTTCATTGAATTTGGAGGAGAGGTCCATGGGGCTCCTTATGAATCCAAAAGACAGAGAACTGGCTCTGCTGATATACAGGAATTTTAGCTCCTAACAGGACCATGTGAGTTTTGCAACACCTTTGAGGACTTTTTGCAGTGAGTGGCCTGATATCAGGAAGGTACCTTGGGCTGGTGCAGCACTGCTGGGCTTGGCACATCCTGTGTGCCAGTATCACAGTGGGTTCAACTAGCCTTAGGCAGAGCCTTCTGTTGATAGTGGTGGTGTGCTTGTGTTAACCTGGAAGACTTTTATCGAGTTCCCAAGTCCTGACATCCTGTCCTGGTGGTGCTTGGGTGGGAGTTGAGATGAATGCCATGCAGAGGGTACCTCAGTTGGGTTCTGCAGGTAGAGCTCAGGCCATGGCCTGGTGTTCTGCTGAAGGAAACTTATTTGAGTAAGATGTGCTTCATCCTTAGTTGGGGACAGTCAGCTGGAAGTATCAGCTGGTGCTTGTCTCCCCTGTGATGTGTGCACTGTGCTGCTGTCACTCCAAATGCTGTCTGCTGAAACTGTGAATGCTTCCATGCTGGCTAAGTTTCTGAGCATGAACAGAAGCAAATGAAATGCTTTCCCCACTTTTGAAGTGGCACTTCTTCACCATTGCTTTTCTGCTTTGAAGGCAGTCATTGAGCCTTAAGCAAGAGAGGGGTAAGCTGGTAAAAGTTCTTCACTGCACAGTGAAGAAACTGCACTTCACAAATTTGTTTAATGGTTCTCTCTAGGACTTAAAACAACCTGAAGTTAGGAGCTATCACTGAAGTGTTGAAACCTCTCCTATGCAGTTCTTGAACATTACTGCTTGTGCACGTACTTTAAAGGGTCGGTGGCTGCTATACCTATTTGCCTGTACAAAACTTGATGTATAACATAATTTTTGTTGGCCGTTATATTGTGAAAATGATTGCTGAGTTGCTATTTATGGTGCTGCTGGTGATTCAGGGAAGGGTGGAAGAGAGGGTTGAATATTGCTTCCTCCTTCCCCCAGTCAGTTTTCAAAGTCATTTACCAAGAATTTGAAAAAAATCAGTGGTCTGAGTGAGTTGGAAAGCACTTGGTTCTTTTTGATAATGCCCCTCAGACTGTAAGTAAAAGCTGCTATTATGTGATGGTATAAACAGTATGCTTTGAGACTTTGTATTCAGAAACAAATGAGAACAAAACCTCACATTGTGTTATCAGATAACATCTTAAAAGAATTAGTCTCTGTTTGTATTCAACCTATTGTATATTCAGTACATAAATCTGAAAAGTTTAGGATATCGTGTACATATGTTGAATTAATGTAATTCTTCCTTTAGGGAGGGGTTCTCCTACCAGAAAAACATTTAGTAACAATGCAGTTGGATTATACTTTGTCTTGTCAGAGAGCAATTAGCCACAAACTCCCTTCCATAATTCTCCCACAGAAAATTTCTGGCGAATTGTATTCTAAAGTTAGGTGGCAAATCAGGAAGCTGCATTTGTGCCATTTTGCCAGTAGTGTCGATATAATACATGTTTTGTGTTTAATATTTAAGAGATTGTCATGAGCTGATGTTATTTTCACTTGTTTTTCCTCCGTGACAGCTGTAACTCTGCGAGGAGACAGTGGTAGAAGATCGGAGAGGAGAGCCAGGCGAGTTTCAGCATGTCTCTCAGATCATTCACTGGCTAGTGACAGTGGCGTGTTTGAAGCTTTAAGCAAAAGGTCAGGTGTATAAATGCATAATAAGCTGGAAATATTCCTGTTCCACCACATGGTCCAAAAGAATTAGTTGTAAATTTATGAGTAAGCTTTCAAAATTGCTAGTCCTTAGTAACATAAAAATCCTAGATGGCACATTTTAGAGGAAAGAAGCTGTTTACATGCCATCCCACTGTCATCTTCACAAGTGCCAAGTCCCTTTTGCTTTGTCTCTGACTTTCTAATGCCATACTATTCTCCCTTGAAAGATGGTTTTCTCAGTTTATTAGTTGTAAATCAGTAATTTCATTTCACACGTCCGTAACGAAAGAAAATTCTACAGAGTGTGACTTACAATTCTGAGTAGCATGTGATAAAAGTATAACTGTGAGGAAGAAATATGTGAACTGCTCAAAATCTGAAAATGTAGGCTGGCCAAGTAATTGAAGGACAGATAAAGACTTGTTACTTTATGCAATTGTTTTAACACAGTAAGCAGTAACTGAGAAGAAAAGGTTTGGAGGATACTAAAGAGAAATGAAAGACAGAATAAATATTAAAACAATGTAAATATTTTGAAAGAGGTATTCTAAAACCTCCGTTTTTACAACTGTGAATTACTACTTCTGTGTGTTTTTAAATAGATGTCTCAATTCCTTCTGTATTACCAGTTTCTTCTGTATTACCAAACAATTGCTTATAATCCACAAATCACATAATAAATGTTCATTTCATTATGTTTGAACAGCTTAGGTCACTATGTAGTTTACAGTACTTTCTGTTCCTGCAGGAATGAAGATCTGGAAGAGCCTGTTTATGGTGATGGTGCCAGTAATGAAGAACCACAAATACATGTTGGATTTCTGTGAGTAGTTACTTCTCTTTCTCCCTGTCAACTGAGCAGGAATTGTTCACTACTTTTCTTGGGTTTATTTTAAAACTTTATAATAAACTGAACTGCAGTGTGTATTTTTAAGAAGTTTCTGAACTGACACACCAAAGTTTAGTGGCTGTACAGATTAATCAGTCACATAGTTCCGTTAACTTTGTTACTGTAGCTAATATTGATAATGTTCTATTATCACAGCGTGATACCTGTAATTGCTTTTGATTAAAACTGATTTGAGTAAGAAATTTGTTCAACAGCAAAAGGTGCTTTTATATTCTTTAAATCTTTTTAGTCTGTCATCTCTGTATCTTAAGCAAAATATCAATGTTGGTGACTAACACAGAAAATTTATTTTTCAGGCATGACAGTGGAAGCGAATGTCTGTTAGTCCATGTATTACAGCTGAAGAACTTTACTAGTCTAGTTGTTAAAGAAAACTGCAAAATGTAAGCTTAAATTTCACCCAACATCTGACCATTGCTTCTTTTGTGCCACAGTCATAAATACTGTAGGTTTATTTGCTTTCATTCAAAAGTAAGCCATTTCTGGAGAAGATGGTATGTCTTAGTTTACATAAGGAAAGGGTTAATTTTATGGACATTAGTCTCTAATGACCTATGTACTTACATGTTTATTATGCACAGGAAAGTTTGTTCAAAAGTATCTGTGATGTATTCCAGAATAAGCTTAGTGTAGTGTTCTCAATTCCTATGGCAACCTCTATGTTAATCAGTAAGAGGGATACCTTGCTGTTTATCTTTCAGAAAAAAACAAAACAACACACTAACAACAACAAAAAATCCCCAACCAGAACATCCGCAGACTTTTGTGGCCTGTATAGTTCTCTTTGAGTGTCTGTGAAAGACCTTCTAAAGGCAATGCAAATACTAGCTGAGAATCAGTAGAAAGGATTGAATGTTTTAACCTCTGGCAGCTTGTGCTACTTTTTCAAATTTTGTATCACATTGTATAAAACATGAGTTAGTTTATCCTAGTAGATGTTTCTTAAATAATGGCAGTGTGTCATAAAACACTGTTTTATCTAGTGATAGATATCAGCATATTAAGAAATTCAACATGTGAACATTGTTGATCTTTATCACTGGGAGTGGTGGTTTGAAAACTGGAAAAGGGAGGGATGATAACTTATATTGTAAATAAGTCTTCGGTGGGAGCTGTTAAGTTGACATACATCTCACTGAGTAAGTTGGTCTTTCTTAAGAACGTTTAATCTTGCTAACACTGAAGAAGTCTAGTGGAAATTCTTCATATAGAGAGTACATTAGTGTTAGTCTTTTGCTTTGTTTCAGTGTGAGTGTGAGGGCAAACAATAGGGGGAAAAGTACTAAATAGTACTCAGCCATGTTGCCTTGTCATCAGAAAAATAAATAAGCATCATCTGAAGAAGATAGTAAAACAGAGTCACCAAGGAAAAAAATTATTCTAGAGGGCTTGTTGGACATTGTCATCAAGGCAATCAGGCATTTAAATGACTCAAAAATGCAGTTCTATTCTCTATTTTTCTCAACCCTACCTGGGGTGGAATCAAGTAATTGCATGGCTGCAGAGTAGGTAGATTGGTTTGTCTGGTCAAAAAATACATTTCTATTATCAAAAAGGAGAAAAATCTTTTAGCCAGTTTAATGAACTCCTCCATGGAACTGTACATTCGTTGAATCTGTTGCTGGGGCAGCTGGGGGAAGGTTACCTGGACAGCCAGTGAGCAGAGGAGCTGGATCTCTCCCTATTTGCAGCATGTGAATCAGTTTAACTAGCTGATGCTTCACATTCCAGTGCTGCAGTTCCACCATAGTGAGCTCTTCCAATTGTCCTCTAGCCATTTATTTGCCTACCAGTGTCAGCTCCTCTCTGGTGGTGGCATAAGAGTTTATGCAGCCATGTAGTCAACTTGAGTGAGCCTCTGAGCTGGAGCAGTTTTTTTATTCCTTGAGCCTTTGTGGGTTTTATGCTAGGTTATCTTTTTAACCCAGATAGGTTTTCTAATCTGGGTCACAACACAGTTGCATGAAACTGTTTGCTGGCACAAGGGAAGGAATAGGATATTGTAGGGGCTGGACAAGCAGTCAGAACAGGGAGAGCATGGAAGCAATTCTCTAAGTAGCTCTGCTGCCTTCTGTCAGATGAAAATAGTTGTTGATTTTGGTTTTGGCTTAGAATCTCAAATGAGATGGTACCAGATATTGAAATTTGTTTTGAGACTGCAGATGGATGCAATGAGTGCAGATTTCTTTCACCATCCTTTTGTACTGAATTTCTTAAGGAGGAAAAAAGGGTTACTTAGTGGGTGGAAGGAAGAAATGGATCAGTGACTTCTGGAGCAATTCAGTCGCCTAAACATAGGCATGTGTTTCCATTTGAAATATCATAGCACAGCACCTGGCCTTCAGCTGCTGCTCCTCAGAGGAAGACTGCAAGCAGCTCTCCCATAGATCCTGTGTCATAATTGCTAGCTCCTTTTAGATGCTTTGGATACCTCAGTGCAGCTCAAGTGCCACTTGATGCCTCTGCTTAAGCACCAAGTTAAAAAAAAAGTACTTTTAGTTAGAAAAATATATCACTTCCAGATCAGGTTTGCAGATCATCTGCATTAAGAATGCAAAGTAAATTCTCGTAATGAGGAGATCCCAGGGTAGATTCTTAACGTAGAAGTTACACTGATGTTTTTGCTTAGCTTGAGTTTTAGAAATGCAAAACATCTTTCTCTGTCTGAATTGTGCTGTTTGTCAATTTTGCTCTTCCCAGTCATGTGAGAGTTTATTTGCCACCGCTTGAGTCAGGCACACCAACCACTTACTGCTCTAGAGCTTTGGAATTCCAAACTCCGTTAATATTTAATGAAGTTTTCCGAATCCCTGTGCATTCAAGTGTTTTGAAATTAAAATCTCTGCAGCTGTATATCTGTTCAGTTGATCATCAGCAACAAGAAGAGCTGTTGGTAAGTGGTTCTGTTTCTTAAAAGTCATGTCTTACTGGAAACTAAAGTTATTTGAAGAATAATTTTCAAGATTGAAAGGAGAAAGTAAAGACTTCATTTTTCCATAAGTTCTGATAGTTACATGTTCATGTGTACATTTTTCACGTATGTAAAGTATAGTTCTGTTAAGGAAAAGGTGGGGCTTTTAAAAAAAATTGAAATATGTGCATTTTAGGTTACATAAAGTCTTGGAAATGGTTAGCAGAGGTTGAGAATTGGAGTAGTTTAATCAATGTTGAAAGTAATCTGTTCCACTGTGTACACTGCAGAGGCACATTGAAAATTGATGTAAGGTTTCCATTCATTGCTATGGGATTTAGAAGATAAGGAGTTAATTCTATATTTATTTATTGCATTTCTTAGAAATGTCTGTTTTGTGGAAAGTTGGAAAATCTGCTATTGCTAAATTTCGTTGCAAGAAGGAAAGCACTGAGTAAAAAAAAATTAAACTTTTCCCAAAAGACTTCATCTGACAGCTTTCAGACTGCAGTGTGCTTAAGACTTGTGTTTCTGTGTGGCACTAATGCCTGTGAGAGGAATCAGTACCATTCAAATGCTTTCCTAATAAAAAGATAACAAATACAGATTCTTTCTTGCTATTTCATGGTGGGTGAAGAGGACTACTGTTACATCAGTCTTTGTTGCAGGATTGTAGTTGTCCAGGAACAGTTCTGTTCCATCAGCCTTTTACTTTAAACTGATCGAGATACCATGTGCTAACTTCAGATGTGTTGAACGTTAACTTTGTTTAGCTATTGTCAAATATAAAGATGCTAAAATGAGTCTTCCTTGGAGCTGATGTCCTGCCTGTTTTGAAGTGAGCAGGCTGCTGTTTCAGTGATTGGTTGAATGGGTTAGTGAAATTTATTTTTTAAAACCTATTGAAGAAGTTAAGAGGTACAGACATCTTGCTGTCATGCTGGGCTATGGCTAAGAGGTGTTTACTTGAGTGAATATGGTCAACAATGCATGTTTGTTAGTCCACCTTGAAAACTGAGTAGCATCTTACATAAGCACAGGTCTTAATGTTGATGAAAGTGGACCCAAGGTCTTGTCTACAGGAGGAATTTTTGTTGGTTTTTGCACTACAACATCATCAAAGAGAAAGCATTTCAAGAACAGGCTGGATACATTGGTGCAAAATGCTATATACTGGTATAGATTGTTCCTCTGGGAGGCTAAATAGCTATTTCAGTGTAAAGCATCTTGATAAGGACACGAGTGCATCTCAGCTTAGGGCACTTTTGTTCTAAGTGCTGTTACTGAATTGCCAAAAATTGATAGCTCTTCAGGTTATATTGATAGCGATTTTTTTTCTCTTCAATATGGTCTTAGTGTAGTTTTGCCAGAAATATCTTTGTCAACAGTAGTTGGTAACATTGTTTAAGATAAATTAAGAATGTTACTCAAAAAGAGAGAAACAAGGCCACAGTTTCTTAAGGTAGGTGCATTGAAGTGTCTATTTAAACATTAAACATTTCCCAACTCTGATGCAAAAGTGTGAGTATTTGATATGTTTCTTACACTGCATCACAGTGAGTAGATAATTAGAAGACATCTGTGTTTTATCTTACACTGCATCACAGTGAATAGATAATTAGAAGACATCTGTGTTTTATATAGAAAAAAAGGCATCTCTGTAGTCCCCAATATACTGACATGAAATTACTTTCTCAGTAACATGCTGTATCCCCATATCACATTATTTTGTTAGTCTCAAAAACTTATCTCCATTGTGCTTTATGCACCTGTTTAAACAGAGCCCCAGGGATCATTCATCTTGGAAAAACAATGCAATGAATTTTTTTATTACTGTTTTCTAATTAACTGTTCCTTTACCTGTTTAAAGTTGAATGCAGTTTCTGTATGCATTTTCTGCTTCTTCACTATTAGAATCATTGTTTCCAGCTATTAGATTTGTAAGAGATGAAAACCATTTTGTACAGGACTTTTCCAGTGATAGAAATGAAAACATTCTTAGCACGTGGTCCATTAGCATGGAAAGGAACAGGTGGTAGAGATAGCCAGATAAAGCCAAAAGCAGTAGTTAAAAGCTAACTGATATAAAATCATTGCTAGGTCCAGCTAGTGAACCAATTGGAAAAAAAAATTTGGAATAAAATAGGCAGTTTGGATTTGCCCACAGCTGTTTGACATTTAGGTGAACAGCACTCAGCAATTTCTTACATGAGGACTCTCTGATGGAGTAGGGCTACTTCAGAATTTGGGATACTTCTCCTGGGGAGCATCCATTAAACCTGTTTTCACCTGAATCTGGGAGATGTAAGGATGGCTTAGAAAGTGGAAAAATGTTATTATAGAAATAGGCAGAAAACAAAAAATTGGGTTGCATAACATTGTTTTTTTCTATTTAATGGATGCCTCTGAGGACCAGAGAACGGAAGGGTATCAGAATATAGTTCTCTTAAAAAACCCACCAGATGAAAGTAATATTGTTAAAGTAATATGTAGAAATCAGATATGTAGTTGAGAGGATTTAAAAAATATTAATGGCTGTTAGGTGTCAGTTGTATCTGCATCAGTCATATCAATTTTACTTTTCAACTTTAAAAAACTGAGTATCTACTCTGATCCTGGTAGTAAGCAAGAGGCAAGAAATTCAGAGTGTTAGACATCATACCACAACAGAACAAAACTGTCTCTTTTTTAAGAGACTCCACTAGTATTTGATGAAGTGGAGTTTTTACATTGTAAATAAAATGCTCTTTAAATGAGAAGGTGTCTGTCCTGCACAGCATGTTTATCTTATTATGGTCAATACTTTTTTGTTTTTTACAGGGCATTGCTCAGATAAACCTGACTGATGCAGAGAGTTGTGGTGAGATGCAGCTTCACTGGTATAGTGTTCAGATCTTCACTGGTTCAGACCACCAGAGAGCAAAGACCAAAAACCAGTGTGAAGACAGTATTCCCCAGTCTTCTGGAAATGTAACTACAGTTAAAACAGTATGGCTCTAAAGAAGTGATATGTTTACTTTATTTGACCTGCTGTGTGGGTGGTTGTGATCTTACCTCGGTGCAGGTTTCCAAGGTGCACAGAAAGTGATACCTTAATTTATCTCATGTGGCAAGAGCTGGATTTTGGGAGAATAATAAAATCTAGATCATGACTGGATGGGTGCCTGTAGTAGTACCCTGTGTAAGTTTGTATGCACATTTCCAGCAGCTAAAACATGTCACAAATTTCTGCTTCTATGCTTGAAGAGGTTGTCAAGATAGGCTGTGCAATTTCCATCTGGACAACCTGATGTGGCTATGATGCTTCGCCTGCTTTGGGCAGGACATCAGGTTAGATGACCTCAAGAGTTCTCTGCTAACCTAACTTGCTGGATAATGCTCCACAGTGAGACACAGTCTGCCTAGTTCCTGTGACAAGTTGAACACCATGTATTTTTCATCATTAAGATTCAGGATGGATGTTTTGGTTGTGGTTTGGGGGTTTTGGTTATGGGGTTTTTTTTTTTTTTTTTGTTCCTTCTTTTTAGTCTTTAAGGAACATGCAATGGCTTTGTTTTATTTTGTTTTTTCTGAATCATATGCATTAAGTACATGAGTTTGTTCAAACAGTTTTATTTGAAGTCTAAATTACCTTTCAGGATGCAGTGACAGCTCTGTTAGCTAGGACCACTGCCCAGCTGGAAGCAGTTGAAAGAGAGTTGGCAGAAGAGAGAGTGAAACTGGAGTACACAGAAGAGGAAATCTTGGAGATTGAAAGAAAGGAAGATCAGGCAGAAGCCATATCAGAAAGGTAAAAATGGTTATTTAAATACCTCATCAAACAGATAATAACTGATACCTCAAAGATATATGCTCTATGGGTATAGTCCAAAATGCAGCAGGAGAAACAATAGGTCTTTATTCTGAGATTTGCTCCCTGTTAGTGTTACATGTACAAAATTGTGTTATGTGATGATGTGCAAACAGGAGAAAACCTTATTTGAATAGCTGGTTGAGTTTAGAGGACTTGAAATTTGGGGAGTGGGAAAATATTATATCAAACAGAAAATTAGTATTGTCATAAAGACCAGAACATATGCTTTAAGAAAATTAGGGAAGGTGATTTTTGGTTTTTTTGCTATGAAATGTATTTGCTTGTCTGCATCTGCAGAAATGCAAGTGGGCTATGTTCTCCCTTTGAAAATTCTGTATTTTTATTGGAGAAATAATACTCTAAAATGATAAACTGACTTGGATAATGAAATACATAAACATGACACAGAATTGCATGAGTTTTTTTAATACCTACAAAATTATTGTGATGTTCTGACTTTAGGAGTTGGCAAGCAGAATCTGTTGACAGTGGATGCAGTAATTGCACCCAGACTAGTCCTCCTTATCCAGAGCCGTTTTGTGGGGATGCGTTAGCTGGACACATGTTTGCAGCTCAAGCAGGCCAGTACAGTTCTGGAAAAATGCAGCCTCCACCACTGAAGGTAATGAGAGAAGACACTGCAGTATGGAAATGTCACACTGCCTGGCACACACAGTGTGTTACTCTTGGAGTTGGAGTCTGAATTGACCAGTAGAGAAAAGAATCAGAAATTACATTAGCAACTCTGTATGAGCATTGCCTTTATGACATCATTGTGGTATTGAATTTTAGAAATGCCCTATTCAGGGCTGGGATTTTAGTTTGCTTTCTAGTTATTTATGAATAGAAATTGGGTTTTACATCAAAAGGCAAACTGCTTTTACTGTGGTCTTGATCTAAACTGTAAATGCTCATCAATGTCATCAATTTCTGTGTTTACCTGAAATTGTAATGGAAAAGATCATGATCAAATTCCAGTGCTCTTAGAAATTTTTGAAGGAATGGTGAAGAAAGAAGCTGAATGTTTTAAGACTTGCATTGCCATTTCAGTGTTACAGTAACATGGAACAATTCTGCTGGGACTGATGTATTTAAAATCTTTTGTGTTCAAGATATGAGACACTGAAAATAATCCTGAACAAGCTGAAATCAGCACACTGTCATTGAAGCAGAGGAGCATAAGCTGTTTGTACTGCCTTTAGGGAAGATCAAACCTCCTTTTGAGGAGTGAGTTATCTTCAAGTTTGGACACTTTGCTACAGTAGTCTGTTTTCTCTTTTTCTGAATATTTTAGTGTTCCTGTATTATTTCAACAGTCCTTCAGTTCATTTTTTGGAGTTTCTTCTCTTTATTCAACATTCCCTAGTTTTTTAAGGTGGTTACTTGCTTCAGAGTCACTGTGCTTATTGAAAGGTGACTCAGTTTTCTTCTGTTGAGGCTGAGGATCAGGTGGTAGCTTGGTTAATGCCCAGTTGCCAATCCTGAATGCAGTCCTTGTGCTCTGCAGCTATGATTCATGTTATAACTGCATCTCATAATTGTTACTGTTCCAGCAAAGGCTTCTGAAAGGTAATCTTATAATTTTGAATGACCTACTTTTAAAACTTTTTCAAAAATTAGGTGATTCATCCTGTGCTCTCAGTGCTCATTAATTTGAATCTAGCTAGCAGCGCAAATTGTCGACTTTTGATATTGTTTAAGTGTCTGATTGTTTTTGTTAGGAGAGAGAAAATGAGGAAAAAATAAAAAAGTCTCCTTCATTGAAATTTTAGGTGGATAAGGAAACTAACACTGAGGATCTGTTTCCTGAAGAAGTTGCTATTCTTCCAAAGGAGAGAAGTAGCCGCAGGCCCCGAGGCTCTGCCTTTGTTCGCAGTAGCACTATTGTTCGCTCCCAGACCTTCTCGCCTGGAGCTCGAAGTCAATATGTTTGCAGAGTGAGTACGGCTTTAAAAGGAGGGGGGAAGGGCTTCCACACAAGTATATTACACATTTTTGATAATTGAAGATTTTTACATTTATAAGAAACGTAGACTACTTTTTAATGCTAATGAATAATCTTGCATTGAATTTAAACATTGCGGTGGCAAAGAGTTTTCCTGACTCTTTTTAAGAGTTTTAAACCTGAAGGGATTGAGTTTGAAATTTAAGAATCTATGACAAAATAGATATTAAGCTTTTTTCCCTGGCAACCTTCAATGTTAGGTTAGGGTGGTTGATTTTACAGACGTTCAATGCTGTCCAGTGAGGTGCATAAACAGTTAGCTTAGAAGTCATGCTTAACTTTCAGGTACCTAAAAGTTTGGAAAAGGGTACTGAATGCATAATCCTAGACTTATTGCATAAATATTCCTAGGGTTATGCATAAATATTCATGACACTGATTGCAGTCATGAATATCAGTCGTAAGGTGCCTGTTACAGTGGGACCTAGGATTCCTGGCTGCACTGATACAAGTAACTGAGAATCAGCACTGCAGTTTTCTAGCTCATATTAGCTGATTGCTCTGTTCAGTGGCAAAAGGCTTATAAGCAGTTGGCTCATGGTACTGCAGATCAAGACATGGGTATTGATTTTGCAACATTGGTGGAATGCACATAGCTTTGGTCGTACTCTTTCACAAGCTTCTGAGAGCTTGAGTTTGAAAATGCAGTAATGATTTTTAACCTTTGTGCTTTATCCTAAACCAAGGATGGTCTGGTTTTTGCTCTTACTTACACTGTGTGCAGTGCATCTGTGGAGCCCTTCAAATTCTTCAGTTTGATTTCTGGATTACCTATCTGTTTCTAATATAGGGAATGTGAGTAAAAGACTCTCACACACCAGAACAAAGCACGAAAAGGAAAGGATTATTAGACACTCTCACTGAATCTGCATTTACTTAAAATCAGATGGGAGGTAAAGGTGGGATACTCTACTGTTTGTGCCTGTAACAATATATTCTTTAGGAAGAAATATTACTGATTGTAAGTCCCTTCTCCTCCCCTTTTTTAGGTTAAATTGTCTTGGATGGTTAGTAGAATGCTTGATGAAACTGCTCTGTAAAACTGATGGTTTTTAAGTTTCCTTGAGTTAGTGTAACTATGCCATATGAGCACATAAATTTTTATAAATAACTAAAGCTGACAAAAATCAGTCGCTTAAAACAAGATGGTTTCAGTGCATTAAAAAAAACTAAATCTCAAATGCAAAAGGAAAAAAAAAAGTAATGCTGATTTCTTAATGTAGGTGACCTTGTAAGCAACCTGTATTTTCCATCTCCTTTCTCATCAGCTGTATCGCAGTGACAGTGACAGTTCAACCCTGCCAAGGAAGTCTCCATTTGTCCGGAACACCTTGGAGAGACGCACTCTGCGGTACAAGCAGGTACAGCCAGGAGACTGCTGGGCAGCTTGCACTCAGTAGCTACAACACTGGCACTTTTATACTTAAGCTTTAGATGTCTACAGGTACATTATGTTGCTTTTGGGAATGTATAAAGCTTCTGCAGTGTAATTGGGGAAAGGGTGCCTGGTTTTGGGTTTGTTTTGGGCTTTTTAGCTATAAGGTGGACATAGAGAAGTGAAATACAGTTGTGGACAGTTATTAAGGAGGGAAAAAAGTGTGGCAGGCAAAAGTTAGTTTATTGGGGACTGAATTTGTATTGATTTAGATGTAAAGTTTGATACATCTTTAAAATCTAATTTCTGACTCAGGGTGCAGGCCCAGAGAAATGTATGTGAATGTGACAGTAAAACATTCATCTCCACTCCCATGCAGCCTAACAAACTATAGTATTTCAGACCCAAGTGTTCAGGAAAGAATAGGTTAAGCTTTCCCTTTGCCCCTGTGTCACCCTACATGCTATGGAACAAGTGGGCAGAGAATGCCAGGTAAGGCATTAATGCTGTGTATATAAATCACATAAAGTGTAGCCTGGTCAGCAGAAATTAATACCTTGCTGGTGTAGGCAAGTAGCCAGCCATGCCTCCCATTTGATTCAGAAAGTATCTCAAAGCTAATACTGAATGAAGCCCTTTCAGAGGAATTTTGCTCAATATATCATGACTTCACGGTGAGGTTTTCATATTGCATCCCTTTAATTGTCATCATAACATGAAATTTTCATCCATAAACTTCAATTAGTAAAATATTTATAAGTCAAAAGGAGACTGTAAAAGGAGCTGGTAAAAAGAATTAATTGAAAAAGTTTATGTATGGCACAGAAAACCCCTACAGCTAGCACTGGGGGATAGAAATAATCTCCAAAACTGCTTGTCAAAAAGACTTTGTGTGTGAAGTAAGTGCAGAAAAACATATGCTCTATATAGCTAAAGACAGACCAGTAAACCACGTTGAGAGTAATCTATTGTGTGTTTTATTTGAATCCTAATAACTCAGCAGTCCTGCAGATCATCTTTGGCTGAGCTTATGGCAAGGACATCCTTAGACCTGGAGCTGGATCTCCAGGCATCTAGAACTAGACAGAGACAGCTGAATGAGGAGATATGTGTTTTAAGAGAGTTGAGACAGCGTCTGGAAGATGCCCAGCACAGAGGGCAGACAGATCTACCCCACTGGGTCCTCCGGGACGAGCGATTCCGAAACTTGTTGAAGGAAGCAGAAAGGCAGGTATGGTAACATGACATAAGCACCTGGTTTCAAAATGTCTTGACTCTCACAAGATGTCTAAAGAGCTGTTGTAACTGAATTTCAAGCAGTGAATGTTGCTTTTATATTCTTGAGTTTAGCACAATAAAAACTGTTGCATTGATTATTAACCAAACTCTATTTCTTTGAGGACAGTTATTGGAGAATGACACTATTTGCCAATGGCACTTTTTGGTTTGGGCTTTTGGTTTTAGATACTTACTATTGGAACTTCAATGATTTTCTTTCTTCTGATTTTTGAAAGAAATTTTGCTGATTTGATATGTAATTTTTGCAAGTATTTGGAATGTTCCCTAAGTATATGAGTTTTGATTTCCTGTTCTTGAAAAAAGAAGTTGTCTAGACAAAGGTGGCAAAACTGTGCAACAAACAAAATTGCTATTGGATTATCAGAAGACTGAGCCTAAATTTATTTTAAGATCTTGTTTGACAGATCCATGTGCAGTAAATCTCATTAATTTCATACCTATCTGAAGAGCATCAAGAAGTGAAACAGTCTTTTGCATTCATAGTTCTTAGATGATTAGCTATTTCAGACAATGTACTTGTGTGGTTTTACTGTGGTGAGTGGGGGAAAAAAGTCCATTTTAAAGGGGGTATTCTGGTGTTTTATTTATTCACATGTCCATTTTAAGCATTATGTTCTTGTTTTCAGACCAGACAGACCAAATTTGAACATCACCAAGAGCAAGCAGCTGAAAAGATGCTAAAGAAAGCATCAAAAGAAATATACCAGTTGCGTGGGCAAAATCAGAAGGAGCCTATTCAGGTGCAGACTTTTAGGTAAGTGGTAATGCATACTGAAATAGCATAGCAACAGTTCATTAGAAAGGTTAAAGCTCTCCAAATCATATAGCTTAAATTCTCTGTGTCTCCTGAGCTCCAACTGTATCTTGATTTGGCTATGAGTTCCCTTTAAATTCTCTGTAGTCCAAAGAGCCAAAGGTAAGGTAAACTTGCAGTGTTCTAGTACACATGAAATTAAAATAAAAACACCAAACAAGTCATCAAATACAAACATAGCTCAGGTGATTCTTCCAACCTAGCCTAGTTGCTATTAAGTTTGAATGATTTGCAGTTCTTCAGTGCAAGCCTGTGGGCATAAATACTCTGTGTAATGTGATACATACACATTACTAGTAACACACTCCCCCTAGAAACTACTCAGTAATACTCCAGCTTTCTCTCAAGAAGCTTTTTTTCTCTGGACTCTGTTTCCTGTTTCATCTGTTTACATGGTATGTGTTCTCTCTTGGCTTTATTTTTTTTATGACAGTTCATTTTGCGTACAAGTGGTGTTGATAAAGTGAATTTCACAGAGACTTTATTGCTTAAGCATTAAAATTTTTATAATTTTTATTGGGAGAGTTGCAGTAAGAATAGGGAGATGTTAATGCAGCATAGATGTGGAGGACAACTCAGCTGTAATGCTGTGTTATACTATTTCATCCAGTGTTTAGACTTTCAGAATTTTGTGCAGGGAATACTTGAGTGAAATAGAAAAGCTGTCTGTCCTTTTAATGTCATTTTTTGCTTGAATTATATTGGAAAGGTGTTTCTCACAAAGGTGGGGAGGAAGTAAGAGGGGTAGAAATTTTAGAGTTGTTTTTACATCTTATGTCGGTGGTAATAAGAGAGGAGGGTTTATGGTTTGCTGAGATAAAAATATGGAGAATTGAATAAAATGGCATGTAGAAGATGAAAGCAAAAGCTTTATTTGTTACATTCTGCCCTTTTTATGTACACATCCATTTCTTACGCCACTTACTTTACAGCATGTGCTGTTTGACCAACAATGAAGCAATAATGGAGATTTTTTTCCCCCTTTTTGTAGACATTATTACAAACTGTACAAGGGTGAGCTTTGCATTGCAGAGCTTGTCCTGTGAAGCCTTTTTTCAGTCAACTATGACTGATGTTCAGTGAGTTGTATGAAGCTTCCACCTCGATTTTCAAAAACAGTAATTGTGCTCAACGGAATGTTGCAAAAAGTATATAGTGAGGTTTAGTAGTTTTTATAAGTTCATTGTACTCAAATAAACCACCAGTTCAGTATGTAAGTAACAAACACTAACCAGAGTAAAGAAATTATGTTCTCTGTGGGGGGGAAGGGGGAATGTAGGCATATATCTGATTTAATATTTCATTTAATGTAATATTTAATTTACTTTCTTTTTCTCTTGTTTTGGTCACAGAGAGAAGATAGCTTTTTTTACAAGACCAAGGATTAACATACCTCCTCTGCCAGCTGATGATGTATGACATGTTGCATTGTAAACATGAAGTATTTATCGCTTTTATTTTAATGAAGTTCTTAGATTAGCCAAGTTTCTTAAAAAAAAAAAAAATTGTGCAAAAGCTAATATACACGTTTTGTAAAAAATAAAAAAAAGTAAAAAAAGTAAACGTAAACAAAAACATATATATAAATATATATACATATATATTTTATAATAGCGACTGCAACAAGGCTTGGTTTTTCCTTGTTGTGAAACTGACATCTCTGAAGACAACTTATTTTATAAAAGATCGACTATCCTGTTAAGAGCGTGTACAGTTTTTATGCTGTTTTATTTGACTTAAAGGCTGGAAGACAGAAACAAAGTGAGTTCAGGCAAATTCACTGTAGTGTAATTTATTTATAGTGCCTTTTTTCCTTGAAGGAAAATACCTACTTTAAGATGTATTTTAAGACTGAAATTTTGTTCTTCAGTATTTGTCATACAGTAGAATGGAACCATTGAGCTGGTTTTGTTTCTGATACCTGAAATGAAAATACTATGTTCTAAAATTGTCACTTTTTTCAGCTTTATTATCTGTAGCTTATTATGTACATTGTATCCTTTAGCACTGTCTGTGTTATAGCAAAATATTATCACCTGCAATGTGTCTAACCCTGATTAGAAGTGGTGTTAAACATTGCAGAATTCATTTGCATGTTCTTACTGTGCACTAATAGATTGTTTTCATTTCAGTTGCGTCTGAAGTATCTTTATATTCTTAACTAGATCCTCATTTTAACGGGGGAAGGAAAAGGGTGACAGGTCTTTGTTTCGCTGTTTAACGAGAAGGGAGTTAAAAGAGCAGTGTGAGCTAGCTGTGTGCAAAGACTGCTAAGGGAATGTTACAGTGATTTCTATAGTTTTAAAGGTTCTGGTCTGATTCAGGAAAGTACATGTGTCCTGATTTCAGCTAGCAGCTGCTCTAAGTAAGGGTGCTGAAACACATGTCCATCCTACAGGATGTGCTCTGTGGTTACTGCATGCAAGCTCTGTTGAACAGTGATGCTTTCCAGGAGGAAGGTGTGTAATTCTGGGAGTGCAGCTCACTTGATTGCTAGTTGGACCAGCTAAAATCCAGTAAGAAACAATTTTACTCGTGACCATTGGTTTTAATGAAAGACTGTCACCCTAAATTCCCGAGAATGCCAGTTTTGTGTCCTTGCATCCTGCAAGTATGTAAAAATACTTCTTTACTAAGCTACTATAATAGAGTTTCTCATATTTTTCTAATTATACATTACCTACAAAGAGAGGTGCCCAACACAAGACTGACTTTGCAAATTTCTGCAATCTCCTAGAAGGAAGATCATGTTGTCTCTTAATTAAAGGTCAAATTGGTTCCAGATTTTTATGTCAGGGAATCAAAACAACATCGGCCAAAAACTAGACAAACCTATCAGAATATTTTCAAATATTTTGTAAATAAGTTTTGTGAGTTTCAAGAGCTTATACTCGGTTAACTTGTCAAAGGTCAGGAAAACCTGGAAGTGAAATTAAATTACTTTTACTTATCCACACTGAGGCAAAAAGTAACGGAGAAAAAAGACTGTAAACCTAAATTGTTAATTAAGAAGGGTGATAATTTTAAGGTAGTGTTCCCTGTTTCCAATATGGCCTATAATCATTACAGGTGTCAAGTGTTGCAGTCACGTAGCCATATATGTGAAACTCAAGTATGTTCAGCATTTATTGTGCTATCCATCCTGAAGCCTGGTTTTGCTGTTAAGTTTTGGTGGGTGTATATTGAGGTCCTTGGGCACAACTAGACATGTTCAGAAACAATGCAGACAAAAACCAAATCATGCAAAGAAATTTGTAGTGTTCAGGTAAAAGTCTAGGGACAGCCAGATTTTCGGTGCTCATTACTTGAAAAGACCAGTTAGTCAGAATTTCACTTCTCGTTTTCAGCAGAGACCCATACCTAGTAGTGTTTACCCAAAGTTACCATGCAGAAGTACTTGTAGTATACTAAGAACAGACAACACCATGGTCCTGTGAGAGTGGTCAGGTACTGGAAGGTGTTGCCCAGAGAGGTGGAGTGCTCTGACCACAGAGGGGTTGAAGACTTAACTCAACTGGATACAGCCTGGAGCATCTAGTAGCATTAGGCCTGCTGTGAGCAGGAGTTGGGGTAGGGACCTTTCTACCACCCTAAATTATTCTGTGACTGTATAACGAAGGACAGTGTCTGGTGGCCTCTCTGTCAAGGGTTCAGTTGGTGTGAAACGTTGTCGGTGTATCTTGTGGGTCTGTGATTCTGACTGCTGTAATGAGTTCTGTCTTGATGTGGTAATGAGTTATCATACTCAGTATTCATCTCTCTTGTTTTTGTCACAGTTCTGTATGATTGTGTCATTTTTGTATTATTTGAAAGTATTTCTTCTACAAAATAAAATAATTTGCCATAAACAGAAATAGAGTTTTGTTGTGTGTCAAGGACTTTTCTTGAATGTTTTATATTTGATGCATTCTTGACGCTTTCATAAAAACTGTATTTTGAATAACACTGTCATTTAGGTGAATGTAATGAATTTTCATGTAAAAATAAGAGGAAATCTGAGAAACTGGAGGTCTTGGAGAAGTTATACTGAAGACCTGAAAGGGATGCAGAGTGTAGGGA